GTGGACTTTAATCATGTCCATCATACTTAAGAATTATTTGTGGGGCTAAACACAGAACATTAAAACGTATACTTAGTCATGAGGCTATATGAACTCAAGAGCAGCTCAAGTTATATGAACGCACAGTTGAGCACAGTAGATGCTTTAGGAATATTACAACATTTATTTAACGCTAGGGTTTTAGTGCACTCCCACCCCCTCACTCTGTCTTTGTGTCTTGCCTTAAGCCGACAAATAAGCGGTGATTCATCACAGGCTACAGACAAAAGCACATGCAAACATGCGGACAGGAGCAACGACCCGTCCCTCTCCGCTTCCCTTCCGTGCCGACGTACCCGGAGGAGATGACAAGTGTAGGAGCGGGCTGTGATGTTGTTGGCAGCGGCGCTGCTGCGCTCTGTAGGCGAAACCTACCTGTCATCGTAGCAGAAATCTGCGTCCAGCGTGTTCAGATAGAGACCCACAGCCACGGCGGTGCACACGAGCTCCGTGATCATCTCTCAAAACCAAAGTGGGAGAGGAACCGGGATAGAAATGATTGGAATCAGGTCCCCTCGTCTCTCGGTTTGTGTGTGTCTCTCTCTCTGAAGTCTCTGTTATTATGCTCTCAATTCAGCCGCTCGGCAGCAGAGCTCTACAGGCAACGCAGGGCATTTTCCCGTGTCATGCAAAGTGTGTCAAAGTTTCCCTTATCACCCTCTAACCCATTGTGCTGTGAAACGCGTCAAGCCTGGAGAAGTGGAGGTGCAGCTGTCGCCCGGTCCGGCTCGGAACGGTGCGCATTTCTGTGCTGCGGTGCCTTCAGTGTGAGCATCTCCCTGCCTTGGCACTGGAGAGAGCAGAGCGGGGAGACGCATGTGGTTTTCAGGGAGGGTGAGCATGCGCAATGGGCTCTGCATTGGCGAGAAAAGGTGGCGAGTGAAGTAAGGATTTGTGGTTTTGCATGTTACTGATGGGCTACACTGCAAATCAATTATAAACAGGGAGTCATGCATGAAATGGTAGTTGCAGATTGTTGCCATGACAAGATTATATTTTTGATTTCATGGCACGGAATCCAATTTTAACCAAAAATGAGGAACAGACTTCCATAGGTCAGGACCTCTGTATTCTTCTAGTGTGGCACGGTAAATATTATTAGTCTAAAATATGACATGGTGTTACAATGATGTAACTGTGAGCTGGAAAACAAACCTTTGGGGAGTAAAAACACACAAAAAACCCCCAATATTAAAATAAAAGAAAGCTTTGGTTGCCGAACAAGTGCCACTCTCTGGAGGATGTTTTTAGCCTGGGTTTGGTCTTCATAGCCAATTTGCCTCTTTAATACAGTTTTTAAGTTACTCTTGAATTTTTCTGTAGCTTAAAATTAGAACCAAAGCAGCTTTGATTGACCACTGTGCTGACACAGCTGATCGCTAACCTTAGCTCATAGCTCACCACTTCACCTTCTAATTTTTGACACTAAGAAGTAAACATGTCAGTTGCCAAACTGTTACCACTGAGACTTTGAAATGCAGAGCACAGAGACTGAAATCACAATGGCCATGAGTATCTTTTGTGTCCACATGGTGTATCTGAAATAGGATTTGAATGGTTGAAATTCAGGTTGCTGCGGTGGTCTTCATGTGACTTTAGAAGGGAGAATGGTGACCATCAACCCTTAGCCCCCTTAGGGATTCAGTAGCTCTGCTGCGATCCTACTGGTGGAGGATAGAGGCGAATTCACACAAGGTTGCTTTGAATGATTTTTTAATTCCACAGTTCTATCGTGTTTGAAGCGGTCTTCTCTAACCAAGGATGAGAGGTAGATAAACAGTGCCTCCATCCAAAGGGAACAAACGGTTGCTGTATTGTTTGAGTATGAAAATTTAGATTATTATATTTTATGGCTTCTGCCATCACCAGCTTTCTGGTAGCACTGCCGCTTCACCGAGTTCGATACTTCCTGGGCCCTTCCTGTGTGTAGTTTGCACGTTGCATTTACATGCAAACCACATGCATTTTCTCCAGGCACTCAGGATTCCTCCCAAAGCCAAAAGACATGCATTTTAGACAGTTTGATTGTAAATTGGCTGTAAAATGTTGGTGAGACATAGATAAACTGCTACAGATTTAATTGTAAGGTGAATATGGCTTATAGTGTAAACCATTGTGAGTGGTTAGTAAGACTAGAAACGTGCCATGTGAGTCAAAGAAAAGTACACTGAAGCTGTTCCTGTGGCATGTTTCGGCCCAATGTGATAGTAACACACACTGTATTGTCTTTTCCTTTACTTTGTCAGTAGTTTTTACCTTTTACTGATTTTTCTGTTTCAACATGTTTTGCCTAATATGAAAATATATAATTTGTATATATTCAAACGCCATTCTCATGCTGCAAGGGGATAACAGATAATAATTTCTTAGCACTTTCTCATCAGGCATATGTTGCCTAATGACTGCAAACTGGTGGAAGCCTCAGGCCCTTTTTCTTTGAAATTCTATTTAAATTTAACTCTGGGAAGCTGAGATGGGAAGCCACTCCCACTGCAGGCGTCACATTAGCTTCTTTCTTACTCCAAATTGAAAATATTGATTAATTTGCAACACCAACCCCCCACTGTCTCTATGGAGAAGCGTTACTGAGAGAGTAGGTGTGATTGATTAACTACTGTACCTCACCCTATGGTGAGCATGCATAATAGTTTGGAAACGCTTTTGGCCCCGCTGACTACCAGCTGGACAAACGCCTGTCCCACAGTTGGGGATCCAAGACGATAAATCCAGGGCAGAGCAGCGGAGAAAGAAAAACAGATGGCTGGAGGAGGATGTATAGAACATACGGGCACTGGCTGACAATGGCTGAGACAGTGACAAAACATTCAGGGTGGACGTAAGAGAGACATTTGTACCAGTGACCCTAATTCTGAGCAGGACTTGACCTCCACCTCATGGAACTTGTCTGCTGGATTATTTAGGAGACCTGAGACTTATGTTGATGTTTTTCCTCTTCTAAAGTATTCATCAGTGTCAAGAGGTAACAAATGAGAGTTGGTGTTGGGCTGTTGGAAGAGATTTGATCTATTTAACAGTTTATGAATGAGACAAGCTCAAAATATATCCCTTTTTTATGTTAGTCATGATAGATAAGGAGTCTTGTGAATGATCATTGTCACAAGCTATACTCAAACAAACACATGCTAGCAGGCAAACACAAAGATGAACACTGTGCCCTCTGTCTGCCCCAAAGGGACAAGGAGATGCTCTGTATGGGAGAAGCCCGCACAAGTAATTAAGGGATTAGTAACGGAAAAAATCAGGAAAAAATATTCCAGGGGAAAGAATAAACAGCTCCAGGGCAAAACAAACACATTGAAGGGAATAAGTGTTTACTCCCTCAGACTGATTACCTGCAACCCTCTTACCGTGTTGGCTCGTAACGAACATATTCCGTGCTCTTTTGGTGTAAACAGCCAAGAATCCTAAACAAAAACATCCTATTTTGGTTTCAGATGCCGGCCTGAAAGGTCACTCGAGGCCTCAGTAAGTGGAGGATGAGGAGTCTTTTGAGCATTCAGTGCATTTGCCATAATTGATTAATGTATTTTTCCTTCTTTCATTTCCTGTTTGCTTTCTGTTTTGGGGGGAAGTGGCAATCATTTTTAAAGCTTATAATTTAAAACGTATGTGTTTGATCATTAAAACCAGATTTTGTTTTGCTCATGGAAAAAGCTAATGCTCGCATACTGAATATGATATGCATCCAGACTTGTTTTTGCATGATTCTTCACAATGAACATTATGTTTGTTGTTGATTAGCATAAAGACAGCATGGCTCTGTCCTAAGCCAACAAACCTAACCTGCCACTATCTCCAAAGGTCACATGTTGTGAATTATTTATTGTATTCAAAGCTACGGTTTTACACTGGGGTGTGCATTAAACTATTTCTTGTGTACAAGCAGTAACCTTATATTTCCAGGGGTTTTACCATGTGCCTCTCACTACTGTGTGCTCACTACTCCTAATAGCGTCATTATACAAGTGCACAGGTTAAATAAATATGTTCTTTAGCAGTTCACAAAGCAAATCTTAAGTAAAGTAAAAGGCAAAACTGACAACAGGGCAATTATTAAATGCCACAACTATGTCCACTTCCTCATCCCTTTTAGCCCTACAGAGCAAGTAATGGTAATTTCCACATGCTATTCACTCCGGAACCACTGCTTCTTCCCCTGAAGCAGATTGACATCACACAGGAAAAAGATAATCACAGCTTGAAGGACCAGGCCTCACAGAAATAGCACACTCGTGGTATTAATATCAACATTGAAGCTTGGCAACCGAAAATCAGAACCTCAGATCAAACCCACCCTGGTTTGTGGAACATCCGCAAAAGCCTTCACGTCCTAATTCAGGAAGATCAGAAATATCATTTTGTCTTGAATAAGTGTGAGCACGATTATTGTTTTGGCTTTGGCAGTAAATTAAAGTAGATAAGTTAATGAGGTTTTGTTATTTGACATTTACTTTTAAATCAAGATAATGGTTGACTGAAGTTGGCTTGAATAGTGGTTAAAAATGTCACTGGATTGTGTTCTTTTTGTAAAAATTGTATTAAATAAAAAAGTTGCCCTAATGTGAGGATAATGAAAACACTCATGTGTAGTACAATATTAGTATCTTAGAGTATTTTATTGAACAGCATTGAGCTTCTGTGCTCATAGCCACTCTGTGTATTTGAGCGTATATACACTCACAGGCCACTTTGTTGGATACTACCTCACTGGGCTGGACCCCCTTCTGTCTTAGTGGGATCCAGCCCAGAAGTGCCTTTATTCTTTATGGCACAGGTTCAACAGGGTGCTGGAAACATTCCTCAGAGATTTTGGTCACTTTGACACAATAAGATTATGCAGTTGCTCCAGATTTATCAGTTTCACACTCATAATGTGAATCTTCTGGTGCACAACATCCCAAAGGTGCTCTATTAGATTAAGATCTGGTGACTGTGGGGGCTGTTTTAGTGCACTGCTATGTTCAGTATATTAGTTTGTGCTGGTTTGAGCTTTGCGACATGGTCCATGATCCACGATTTTCATGTTGTTTATGCCATATTCGGACCTTAGCATCCAAATGTCAGAGCAGACGATGTTTCTGTTAAACTTCTGCCTCACTTTCAGGTTCTTAGCTGACAGGACTCGTTTCTGGTGTGGTCTTCTGCTCCTGTGGCCCATCTGCTGCAAAGTTTGATGTGCTATGAGTTCAGAGCAGTTCTTCTGCATACCTTAGTTGTAACGAGTAATTATTAGAGTTAGTCTGGCCATTTTCCTCTGACATCAACAAGATATGTCCACCCAGAGAACTGCTTTTCACTGGATATTTCTCTTTTTTTTTAGTATTCTTCGTCAACTCCAGAGATGATTGTGTGGGAAAATCCCAGTAGATAATGTTTTGATGGTTTTGATAATGTCACATTTAATGCACTGAGTTACTACCATGTGATTGTCTGATTATTTATTTACTTGCAACAAGCAGTTGAACTGGTGAACCTAATGAAGTGGATGTCGCTGTAAAAGAACATTACTGCCCTTTAATAATATATATAAGACAAACTGTTGTGTAACACTGACTTTGGACTTTCTGCTGACCACACGTAACAGCGTTTCTTTTTTTTCTCTATTTTTTCATGACTTAGCAGATGTTTTAAATCAGTCTAATTTGCTATTAATCTGGATACCATTCCAAGGGAGCGGGCAAGATGAATGGAAAATATGAATCAGAATGACAAGAACTGTTTTTCAAAGGATGTGATGACTGTGTTTCACACTGAAAACATCATTTGTCCATTCTCTCTTAAGTGGTTCTTCACGGCGACGCTATTTGGAGCGGCGAGTCAAACATTTACATAGTTTGACATCCCTGTTTACACTTCCACAGATAAATCTCTGACAGGTGAATGCGTTTTGGTCCACGTGCGTCTTCAGAGAATGTATCTGCAGAGGCCGGAGGTGATAACAATAAAAAACAAGCCGTGTGTTTCCAGCGCAACGTCCAGCTGAATCTCTTTATTTCCACAAGCCTGCCGTCATATGCGGCGACAAGGTGGTTTGTGACTGGCACGCAATCTCCCAAAAGTCCCCTGTTTCTGTTTAGGTAAAAGAGAGCACCACAACAGCCGATTCTTTAGATGGAACATATTAAAATAACAGCAGAGACCTAATCTTAATTTGCAATCTGGTATTTTAGAAATGACTACTTGAAGTAGTCATGCTATCTCTGATAAAGTTCGGCACTTCCCTTTGACATTGTATCCTTTAATTATTTTGGATTCATTGACTAAGACTTTGTTTTCCCTCTCGGATGAAAGAGCATTCTTCCAGTCTACATTCATTCACACGGACCTGCTGTGTAATAGAGATATTACTGGACAGAGTAGTGCTTATTACGTTAGTGGACCCTTGAGATTTTTTCTTTAGTTTAAATCAGGGAGGGTGGCAGGAGCTTGTATTGTATCCAAACACCACCGTGAGAAACAGTGATCGCAGCTGAAAGCAAATGTGTTGACACACTCCCCTCGCTTCCTCTCTGCTTCCTCTCATTCCTACCTTACAGTGAGAAGTCTGAGGTGGGAACGCTTTGAATGATTTTCCTTGGAGACAATTTCTGTCTGAAGCCGTCATCGCACCCTGAAACATTTCTTTCCCTGTCATCTGTCAACTGCAAATCAGGAAATTGCAGTTTGCCTACACTGCGCCGACTATACCTTTCAACTGGTTTCTTTCACGTGCCTGTGTCGGATGCAGGCCTTTCATCGTGCCATTTTTTTTTCCTTGTGGGCACATGAAAAGGAGATTTTTGAATTTGCGTAAACATGCGTGCTAGAAGTCAAAGATGGGAAAGGTCAAGAGGACATGACTCACACGCCGCAACAAAACCCGACAATATTTATATCCTAAACAAGCTTTGTACACATCTTGAATTGTTTGTATTCGTGTCAGTCCAGTTTGGCCACTACAGCAGGCTGTCAGTGTGAAGCACGGTGCCGGATCCAAACACGGTCCAGACACAGCAGAGAGAGCCTCGCCATGTGTCTTTACAGAGATAAAAATAACACTCGAGGACACAGCTTCACCACGGCAACGTTGACAGACCTATGAATTGCCAACAGATGTGCAGGCTGCTGTGGCTACAGTGACAAATAGATGCAGTGGGAGAAAACAAGAAATGCTTTGCACCAGTGCTGCACAGTGGGAAAGTGTCCTATGGCCTATTTCCTTACTTGCAGGCTACGTTTGTTCAGGCTCCATAATTTACTACCTAGCTTTAATGAAAATGTTCACACACACAGCTGACATACTCATTACTGGCTCAGTGGTGGGGTTTTGCACAAAGCTGAATACAACTTGACAGAACTAATTCTCATTATTTAGGAAGAAAATATTGTTTCCAAACACTTTTATGTTTTATTTATTCAACTGCAGCCTTGTTAGATAAACTAACACTACAAAAGCGGTTATTTTGAGTTTGTTAAATTTCGGTCAAGTTTTGCACTTGACAGAGGGTTTAACATTTTAACCAGTTAAATATTATATTCATATAGTAGGAAGCTGTCATCCATTAACCTGGTAGCTGAACAGTTTCCCATAAATGTAATGTTTTATTCCTACAGTAACCATATTAACTATATGCTCACTGGTCATTTTGTTAGGAACACCTGATCAACTGCCTGTTAATGCAAATATCTAATCAGCCAATCACACTGTAGCAGCTAAAAAAATACACATGGTCTTTATGACCTGCTGAAGTTCAACCTGAGCATCAGAATGAGAAAGAAATGTGATTTAAGTGATTTTGAATGTGGTATGGTTGCTGGTGTCAGACAGGCTGGTGACAATATTTCAGAAACTGCTGATTTACTGCAATTTGCACACACGAACCTCTTACGGGTTTTACAGGGAAAGGTCAGAGGAAGAGCTATATGCTAAAAAAACAAAAAAACAAAAACAAAACCCACATACATTAATTTTCAAACATGTACAAAGAATATGATTTATTAAATAACTGAGGCAGAGGTAAATTTAAAAAAAAGTAAATATTAAGATTGGAGACAAGGGCACCACATGCCCTGTCTTTTCCTCTACTTCCTCTGGTTTGGGATTCTAGAAATTGAGTTTCCAGACCTGCTGAGGGGATCCTGGTTACTTTAAATCCCATAATGCTTCAAACCCCCTAAACTGTCTTTAAAAACATGTTAAAAGGATGCAATACATAGTATGCTATCAAAGAGAAAAGGCAGTTTTTCCAGGTGTTTCGAGCACGGGTTTGATCTCTGAGAAGAACCCAAGGCCAAGACCAGAGAAGTAGAAATATTTCAGATACTTTTCCATTTAAAAGTAACACCATGTGTTCCACAAATCGAGATAACATTAAAAAAAAGATTCAAACTAGATGAAATGTTGCAATTAAAACAAACAGTTGGGAATGCATACATAATACAATCACTTTCAAAGCGTGATTGCTGCTTCGTTCATGTATAAACATGAACCTTGAATCATTGTATTATGTGCATATGTTCGAGTTTCTCAGCTTGTAGTTCTTTTCCCATCATTCTTGAGTCCGATGACAGCATAGCATCTGGGAGACAACAGGGGGTCAAACAGTTGCACCAGTGCAGAGAATGACACGTCCTCCTGGCATACAAGGGAAAGAAAAAAAAGACAAAAAAAAAAAAAAA